CTACATACATTTGCCGCCCCCCAAAATAAATCCTGGCTACGCGCCTGGGTTAACATAGTTAGCAGACTTTACACAGTTGTGTATAAAGAGACAAATACAACAGGCCAAGGTAATAGGCTTTCCGATATGGAATCTTTGGTTAGAAGTGATTACTGTCATGGTTCTTTATGTCCAGTATATATAATCAGTAAGTTCGACTGGCACAAACAGTGCTCTGATATATGTATGGTCCTGTGCCCATACATCTTTAGCATTAAGTCCACTCAGTCGTGCTGTCAAGCGTTGTTGCCTACATCCGCCTCTGCGCATTTGCAGAGCATCGTGCACCTGACACCGGCGCGATTGCACTTGCACCTTCCTGTGCATGACTTGAGCAGCGCAGTGCAGAAGGTGTGCATGATCATGAAGCGTCATTCAGTAGTGTAGTCACATTAGCGGCTGCGCACCCTACCATCTTTTGCAAGCCCCACTCACTGAACGTCGGGAATTCGTTACTAGACACTGTGATGAGACTGATTCCAGTAGAAGCTGGCCTGAAGTAGCGCTCGTTTGACATGCTGCGAACGTGCTGCTTCGTGTAGGTGGAGGTTACTCCAACTTGCTGCCTTCCAGGTGATAGGCGATACCGTTGGCCTCGTTGACACCATAATCTGGCACCACACCTCCATTGCTGTACATGAGAACACTAGGTCATCGAATCGCTGCATATGTACGACTCGCCTCTGTGTCCCCCCCCCCTAAAATTCCCGACTGTTCGCTGGCAGCTATGGATCCGTGCACCGGCCTATGGATTCGGCGTACGGATCCATAGCTGCCAGCGCTGCATACTGTCGTAGGACGTTCCCGCGGTCGCATGCGTCTTTCTGTGGAACTGCGTGCAAGATCTGCGCTCAGCGGTTAGGATCAACACCTCTTTTCGGCAACACTTCTCTGGTATCCCGTCTCATCTGGTTATTTACATCTGTCAGTTCTGATGTGCGTGATATTAATTATCAGGAGTGTACTCCTGATATTATGATACACCAGGGTAATCTGTTATGGGAACATAACTTAAAATCGGCCGATCCATGGGCCACTGTCATTGACTTGAGTCGTGTGACGTTCTAATAATAATAATATTAATAATCATTAATGTGATGGTGAGTAAATTGGAATACGAATCATACTTACTACCAAGGGCAAAGTAGTACCGTTTATGTACTCTTTACTTCTACATATCACAATCTTACAGCACGCACATCATTGCACATGTGGCGGTGCACAGTGCGACATAAACCCCCCCCCCCTTCAGCCATCAGACTACGTGTTTGCTGGTGATATTCATGTAGCCGCTCGTTGACATTTGACATGCAGAAAGCCACTGGTGCAAGGTCAGCTGGTGACGAATGCGACGATGAGGGACCCGGACGATCCCGACGTGATCGTCACCCACATCGCACACGACTCGGATCTCAGTCATCGCATGAAGCTGTGTCAGCTAGAAGATCCTGACCGCGCCACGCCGGAAAAATACTACTCTGTCGGAGAAGTGGAGAGGCGCGGCCCTGCTGCGCCGGAGAAGCACGGATTTGCTGCACCGGAGAAACAGGGCAGTGTTGCACCAGAGGACCCAACCGCTAGCCCACGCAGGTTGATCCGAATAGCATTGGTTTTATGTTGGGTGTTGTTGCCGTGCGTTAAGCTGCCATAATCCATACCATCTGCTTTTAACTTGCACAAGATGTACAGTCCGACCTCCTTTATCCGGCCACGTCGGTACCGACACCCATCCGGATATGGGATTTGGCCGGATATGAGAGTTATGCTCAAACACAGCATTTCTATGCAGTTCAGTAGGGTTTATGCATGTGATAATTCATTTACTCGTTGCTATGATTATTTGTAACAAACTGTTGTGTTTTATGGTGTATATGAAATGGAAATAAAATGAAATAAAACAGAAATTTTACCGGAGGCATAGCGGACACGAGCGGACAACACACACGCGCGCGTACCCGCGCACACACGCAAGCACACGTACGGTTGGTACATCGCGCGAGTTTTGAGCGAGATTTTTAGGTGGAAATGATTGAAAAACAGAACATATCACGGCTGGTTAATAGAGATTTCCGGATAACGGATGGCTGGATAAAGGAGGTCGAACTGTACATATATGATTTTAAATGTTAAACAGCACCATTACATGCCGTCACCACTGACAACTTGAGTGATGGGTCTACAACCCTTTTCAAGATAACTTGTAGATGTAATAGATGTAGATGCATGGGTTTGTAATAGCTCCTTACCCCTGTGATAAGCCTGCATGCCTAGCAGGGCGCATCGTGGCACATTTGATAGGCACGTGCGGATTTTACACTTATTTGCCCACACACAGTGTACGGGGATGGGGTAAGCTCGTCACAGGTTTTTAGAAGCTTACTCTACACTCCACTCTTGCACTACTCCAAGCTGAATGTTTTTCCAGAGGGACGCGCGATTGTTTTAAGTGCGATGTACACACACCTGCCGTCTAGCATCATTTCCTTCTTTCCGTCTGGTGTGTAGGTGTGCCCCGTTGCCAGCGGCGCTAGGAAAGGGCGAAGGTTCCCCACTGCTGCTGAGAAGGAGCGAGTCGCTAGAATTATCCGACACTGAATCGGATACATTAGGTATCAAGTCCCAGGTAATGCTCTGAAATATAGCCTAGTGCAACGACCATGTATGTGTGATCAAATCATAAAGCTTGTCCTGTTGCGAGTTAGATTAGTTTTAGAATATTACGAAAATGAGCCTTCTACCTAAAATAATTAGTAGTTATACAAGTTTTGATAGACAGTTTAAAAATGTGTTGTCCAAAAACGCAGTATGAACTTTGTGCAGTTTCATTGAAGTGAGCAATATCGCACCTCTGTAAAACGTCAACAATTTAAGTATGAATGAGGCATTTGTTGATTGCATGAAAATGCTTGTTAGGTAGAAAGCGTCTAGGCAATTTATATTATATAAAAATCGATAATGTACTAAAAACTACAAAAAAACAATACAATGTAACTGTTTATTGTGTATATTTATATATATCAGGAGCGTATAATGGATGACATTATACGCTCCTGATATATATGAAATCTTTTTAGACTGATCGTTCCTGGTTAGCAATCTCTAAATTAATACATCTGATATTATTTTTGGACCATAAGGAGAATCCAGGACAAGTCGTTGTGGTGGATGCTATGCTAGATTCAAGCAGAAGTCCAGAATCAACAGCAGAAGTTGGCATTGTTACCGAAATCATATCGTCGCCTGCGTTGATTACATCTCATGTAGCTGTGGAAGTAGCTAAACCATCTTCTTCTAAGCCCGTGTAAGAAAATCTGTCGGTCGTAAATTGTACACAAAAATAAGAGGTCTATATTATTAGGTTACAATTTGCTGAAGGTATGGTTTCGCACTGAAGGAAATCTTAGAGGATTCTTTATGGAGTACCATTTAGGAAAAAAAAAGAAAAAAATAGAATAAACATCTCCTTCCACAAAACGGGTTTTAGGGGGGCCTTTCTTTTCTACCCCATAAGATTTACTTAGAAATGAAAGGTTAGGGGTTAGCAACATTGAATTTGATTTTGATTTGCATTAAATTTAATTTTTCATGACAATAACAGGGTGAAAAAAGAAGACACTAATGATACTAAGCACGAAGCTGGCCTGAAGAAAAAGAAAAAATCTAAAGGTAAAATACACAGGGACGTAGTTACCATGACGCAGATACGCAGTTGCGTACACATCATTTCACCAATCATTTTTTTTATTGCAGAGAGAGAGAGAGAGAGAGAGTCAGTCAGTCAGACTAAATTGTTTATAAACAAATAACACCCACGCAGCGCGCCACTGTATCACAAGCTTACTACATCACTGGCGGATTTAGGGGGAGGGGGTGGATTGGGTTGCTAGATTCCCCCTTTTGTTGGACTAACAATATTTTTACATAGTCGCGGCGCTGTACAAAACGTCACCTGATGCATAGGTTAAATTATATAATTGAGTGGCAAAGCAGGTTACAACCCTTTTGCAGCTTTTTCACAATTCCAAGAAAGAGTTTTGCTGTCGCTCTTATCCCAGCGGTGGTCACCCCTACACATTGAATAATGAACGCGACTTAAACAATGCCATGATGTGATGTGATGTGCAATGAGTGATGTGTGTGTTTGAGCACACACGCGCCCACACGCACCCGCACACGCATATACGCTCGCTCGCTCGCACGCACGCACACAGAGAGGGAGAGAGAGAAAGAGAGAGTTTAAGAATGTGCGTTAGTTCAACATGTCTTGATAATAAAACGAAAATTACATGATTAGTTATAGTGATCTTTAGTGATCACGTCTTGTTGCTCATGGAGAGAATAGTTCTACTAAAAAGATAATTGTCGTAGTCAGAATGAAGGCTGTGCATTTACTCAAAAGTGCCTCAAATACCATCTCCTGCAATCTACATTTTCAAAATTTTATGGGCGAGGACCCCCAGACCCCCCGCATGTGTGCGTACACATCCATTTCATCCTAGGCAGCTGCGCCCCTGAATACACATGTAATAATGTAAACGTGTGCAGTCCTAATATTTTTAATTGCATAATTTAAAATCAAAATCATTTCTTTAATAACGTTTGAACTACTCTAATTGCTCATAGAGTACCAGATTACAAAATCTATTAGTACTTATGTCTACACGTTAGAAAACAGAATTTTTCATCATGGCAAATCTCGAGTACGTGAGTACGCATGAGTGTCGAGGATGCTCAATTCCGAAGATTAAAAGCTGCGCATTGCCCAAATTTGTCGTCATCCACTCCCGCTCTCACTAACTACCTCTCGTTGCAGGAAGGATCGTACCCTCCAGGTACATGGCGGCAGCTGGCGGTCTGTCGTCAAAGCGTAACGAGTCGGTAAGTTCCGTTGTGCACTTAAGCTGTAGTGATCAGTAGACGCGTGTACATCTGCTGCGGGTAATTCCTCAACGTAGTTTTACAGAACCTGTTGCGTTCTACGCTCTCTCGAGTGGGCTACGATTGCGGAGCGAAAAAGATGCTGGTGTGCGTGAACTGCAACGTTGGTAAGCCGCCCAGCATCTCAGCGCGGGGGGGGGGGGTTAAACTCAGTCCTAATAGAAAATACATTTGAGTGTACGTATGCATGTATGTGTGTGTGTGCGTGCGTGCGTGCGTGCGTGTGTATGTATGTACAGGGGTAGAAATAAGGAGAAAAAAGAAATGGTCCACAGGACCATCTAGTTTGAAATTTGGATGGTCCTCCTAAATTTCAAATTGTTCTCTAAAAGTAATGCGGCGTGCAAGCGTAAGAAAGAGATTTTACATGGTGATAAAATGGTTTAATTATTCAGCTGCAATGAATGTATCAAACGATACAGTAATTGTTTAATTTATTCACTGTTGGTTAATAAAGTTGTTTCAGTAGAATTTAGTTGAACCCATAACACCGGAATATAGTATGTCTCAAATATTTCTTAGAAGCACCCATTCATTGCATTCATTCATTTAATACAGTTAACATTCTTTCAGTCAAGCAGTTAATTCAAGCGATTATATAAGCCTTCTTGGCACACTCCATCATGTCGATCTTATCTAATATTTGTTCATCTTCCTCTTCAACATAATCCTCACTATCCTTGAAATATTGAATGTGGAAACTTCAAAGAAAATTACCGTAAAATGTGACAAAAATATTCAATGTCGTCGTACCATTGACTTTGAAAATCTGATGGTCCTCCTGATTATTTGATGGCCCCGGACCATCAGACCATCGCTTATTTCGACCCCTGTATGTATATATCAGAGTGGCACGGTGTCTCAGTGATGTGGTTGTGCTGCGGTTATTACAGGGGGAAACTTCAGCAGCTCAGTCGGACAGTTCCAGGACCACCAAGACTTCGGCGAGGTCAGTCGGAATGCCGAGAAATGTTTCACGAGTCACGAAACCAAAGCGACCGGTCTCATCAAGGTAGTTCTAGAGACGACGCTAACTCTCGATTTTCATATAGTTAGGGTACATTGCAAATATAACTCACACACATGTATAATAATTATATATATATATATATATATATATATTAAATCAAGAGTAGAATAAATAAAGGGAGGAGTGTGACTCAATAAACAAGGAAATGTCCGTTCCATTATACTAGCCTTATAAATACCTACGATTTACTACACGTAACTCATGTCCGCAACTTGAGCTCAAATCGGACACAGTACATTCGCCAATCATGCCGTGCGAAATTGTTCCTCGTAGACACACTGCAATCCGTAGATTACAGCCTAAAACGTACGACACGATTCTTCATTCTCTGGCCATCATCCAACCCATTGCGCGCGCTATAAATTCAAACAAAAGGCAGCTACCTAACGCGCGTATGCTAACTGAGCGAGGCATGTGGCTCGCTGAGAGATTAGGCATCAACCTGCGGCGAGATAACCTTTGACCCGGTACAACAGCCTACACAGGCCACCTTTGTACATAGATGGCAGTGCCTTCAACGCATGCACGCCAACCAAATGATTAGCCTCGTCGAGTGTTGCGTCGATCTCCAATCTCCCCTGGCTGAGCCACAACGCGCACATTCAGCTATCCGAGAGAGCAAACACAGCGCGATCTGTGCCCAGGTTGCCTGCCTTAATTTTGTCTAAATTATAGCGCGCATGGGCCGTTGATTAATATGGCCAGAGAATAGAGAATCGTGTCGTTTAGCTGTATTCACGGATTGCGGTGTCTACGAGGAAACGATTTCGTACGATGATCGGCGAATGTACTGTGTCCGATTGAGCTCAAGTTGGATGAGTTACGCGTAGTAAATCGTAGGTATTTATAAGGCTAGTAAATGACGAATTTCCCTTGTTTATTGATGTCACACTCCTCCCTATTATCTACTCCTGATATTGAATGAAACTAATTAGATGATTGACAAATAACTCGTGATAAAATTCGTGATAAATGTGTGCAAAAAAAACAGTGAATCCACCTGTAGATATTTTGGCCATCAAATTGTGATGTTACATTGTAATTACATAGTGGATTAGTTCGGCTTTATGATCAGCCTAGTTATCCAACGTTATCCATAAATCCTAGCATTTACTTGGTAAAACAACATCAGTGGAACGTTTCGCATTTCACATTTCAAGATCGCCAAACTGGCTCAAGAGTATAGTGTGTATAAGTTGTGTGTTCATGTACTGTGTGGTCATGGACTTAGTTGTACTCACACGATGGCGTTATCCCCTTTGGCAGGATGGACAAGACTGGTGATGAGTGCAACAAGTTCTACGCAATTCCACACGACACAAAGTGTCGAGGATCTCTCAAGGCGATGTCGACGCCAGCCACTGCTAGCCGCGGCAGTATGCAGGTGTAGACATTGACATATCAAGCTGTTGTGCCTGAACATTCATATGTTGGTATGTAAACCAGACTACAAAAGTAGCGTCATTAGACACCGATTGCACTGAGTCCATGTGAATCATTTACAATACGCGTATAATTATACACACAAGCACTTCGCCTACTCACCATGGTGCCCCAGCAATAGAAATAAAAATCGTACCTTAAAAAAATAAGCTCTTTGCCCTTTTCATAAAGTCGTGTGTGTATTTATCAATTATTTTCCCCCATGAAGTGTAGTTAAAAAAGCACATCGGTATGAAATGATTGGCATTGCTGCCCGTCCAATTTGCTGCGGTGCCCTAAAATTCTTCTTAAACTCAACGTGACACTTGCTTTGCCTGTTTGCTATATAGAATAAATTATAATTCGACGCCCTCTTGTGGCGTGTTTACCTCCGCAGCTTTGCCGGAATCCAGGAAGACGACTTCAGCCAGACACGTGCCCAGCATGTCAAATCAATCTCTAGGTCTTCATACTCGCGACCAAGATCGAAGCGAGAGGTGGGAAACATTTAGCGGCCTGTCTTCCCACTGCCAGTATATTCACATTTATCTTGTTATCACATGGCAAATGGGGACACATGTATCGACGTTTAGACGAAAGCTACCAATTCCAACTATCGAAATTGTGTAATGCAAGCGAGAGGGGAAGAATTATTTGATCTGAGTTCCCACTGCCAGCAGTTTCGCGGTTGAATAAATTGTTACCACGTGAAGTGTAACTCGTGAATCTACATTTCAACGAAAACGGTACCGGATGCATGGATTTTTGCATATCTCGGTGGCCATATCTGTTTCCCGGCGATTTTCAAAATTTCGGCAAAATGTTTATTGCAGCGGCGTTTGGTAATAAAGCTCTAGCATGGCATTGTTTTAGAGTAAAGCGGCGCCATCTTTAGAAGACGACCAGCTCACCTTCAGTTGCTCTACCGCGCTATATCACGTGGTCCTACATGGACCACAGATGTCAAAGAAAGCATGTGACCATCAGGAGGCTGATGCAGCAGGTAATGAAGCTCTTATACCCTGCGACAATTACAGGCTCATTATTAAAGTCAACGATACTGTCGGTGATTAAGCGATTTTATCGTAGGCACACTTTTCCAGGAATGTTTTAAGTTAATTTGCGTAATCGCGTGCCTGTGCTGTGGCAAACAGAGACAGATGTACCAACTCTGGCAAGGAGTGGTGAACGGCTAGACGACTACAAGAGTAGGCTAGATCTCGCACTAGACAAAGTAAAGCACATCAAGATGCTTGAGAAACCATTGCAGCACAGGTGAGGTTGTTGTTCTGTAGATTAATGAGATTCTATGTTATCCTCACGTAAAAGCCACACAGACGTATTAAGCTGTCTCGATGTACGTGAACATTTCCTAATGTGGAAGTTGTTTAAAAAGAATAATGCTGCGTTGATGATTTATAATTAATGTTTGTAATTAATAATGAAATAAACCCGAACTGTCTGTTATATATATATACGCCCTTTTCACCCTAATATGATTTTTTGAATTTCTATTGCTTGCTAGATACATGATCCCATAGGCAGTGGTTCTCAACTGTTTGTCCCACCGTCTTTTAATACATAATGCTACAGCTGGCCCTACCCCGAGCAAATTCACACAGTCGCTGACGCCCCCCCGACGATTCTTTACGTCTCGTGACCCAACTGTACTTTTTTTTGCGTGCCTGTCGCCTTTTGCAAGTCGTCTTCGGATCGCGTCTTGCAGAATCACGGCCTGGCAGAAGCTTTGAAGTCGATGTCGGCAGAGTGAAAGACAAGTACGCGAACATGGCCGCCTCCGTGGAGGCGACGTACGCATCACTCAAGCACACGATCAGCCACATCCCGCGACGATCCCACCGAACAGAGTGAAGTATAGAGTTAGTTATAAGCTGGCCCGCTAAACGAAGGCATCTTGGACAGCGCGTCCGACTCGCCTTCACTCTCTAGTCGAGCGTTTCGGCTGTCGCTAACGCTACTCGTGACAAAAGTTGGCCTCATTGCGGGAACGTTCAGACGATAGCGTACGCTTTTGATCATTGTTCGCTGTTACCGATTTGTTTTTTGTGTGCCCCCCACGTCGTTCGTTACGTGCTTCCCCTTTTGTTTCAAAGAAATCGAGCCGCACGATTTAGCGAGGTGCGTTATCGCTGTCTCGCGGAGACGGCTTACACGAAACGGATTGCGGATTATGCGAGTGATCGCGCGTCGCACATGTCCTCTCTTTTAATACTCCCGCCGCTCGGTGTTTTTTCGACTTTTTCTTTGTAGTTCTTTGCGTAAAGATGCGTTCGAAATTATGCATGCGTGCACGCACCTGTTGCCCTGTAGGCGGCCGACATCGGGACCGCCAGTCGTCGCATTTCTCTCGGCAGGTGGCCATTGTGGAGGGTTGTGGAGACGGGAGGCCGCTGCTTACACGAGATAAACAGCTTCAGCGTCGAGCAACTCCGCTGCCTGCGAGGAAATTGCGGGTAGTCTGGCCAAGATTGGAAGATGTGCGGAGGAAGAGGTGGAGCAAGCTGACGAAGTGAGTTGGAGAGTTTGAAAGGTCGTGCGCAGTGCCACGTCGCGAAATACTGTTGCGCGGGTTATTGTGTTTCTTGGCGTGTTTACGCGTCCTTCTACCTTGTAGCTCGTGAAGAGTGGTTTTGACGATTAGGGTTGGGTCTTTAAAGAGGCCCGTCTTTAAGTGCAATTGGATTATAGAACTCAATAGCTTGGTTAATTCGTATTGGGTTTACGTGTTCGCATACAACTGCCGTCAGTCACGGGAAGTTAATGTACCGTTGCGGTGGATCTTTGTAAACGCCGGATGAGGAATGTAAACTTGTTTCGTTTCTTTCTCGCAGGTGCGTATAATCTACTTACAGCCACCGATGACACTGAGCGAGCACAAGAGGCTTCCATGAAGGTTCATCGTGAGTCAGACAGTAGCGTAGGGTTTTGGCAATTTGGGCTGATAGAAGAAAACGTGTAAAAAATTACTTTTTGTAAATTAATTTTGATAGGATGCTTTATCCATATCATTAAGATGCGAATACTGGTACATATTTGTCAGCTAAGTGCTGGAGACGAATTCGTGTCGACGAATGGCATTTTGAGATATGAAAACTACATTAAAACAAAAATGTTTTTGCTCTGCCATGGTGATGGATAATTGTGATGCGCATTTTATGGCTGTTTGTTATTGGCTGGCAGGAGAGTTTGACCTTGCAAATTTTCGGTAGGACATGGCTTAGTAAAGGTGAGAACACACTTGGCAAGAAACACGCATCAGAAGATCTGTGGCAAATCGTTGTTAAATCGATAAAGAAAAAAACACGAAAAATTATACCGCCTGAGTAACCCAAATCGTGCTCGATTCTAGCTGGTTGATATATTTCACGTGTTGTAGAATGGCGTCCAGACTGGCGAGCGGTCCACACGTGTGGCTAGTAATAACTCACGTTACTTGCAATTTCGTTCGATCCATGTCCACGCATAACAGGTTTTGAGTTTGCTAGGTGGGTCCCCCGGACTGCTGCCGGCACTGATCGACGTATGACAAGGAGGCCACGTGGTGCAAATTGTGTTTGACATCGATCAAAAAAAAAAAAATATATGTGTCACGCTAGCACACTAAATGGCCCACTCATGATGTTCGTCGTTGATGAATGCAGCTTTTCACGCGGATCCGGACCGCCATTCATTCACCCCGTCCTAACTATTAGTGTTGCGTTTAGGAGTAACAGCGCTATATGCGTAATGAAAAATCGCTAATCCTTACCAATGCCGAATAGCTGGACGGTAAATCCGAAAATTCAATGTCAGGCGTTGCAATCAGTAATGCATGGGCGAAGCGTGTACGTGCGAAGCGGTGGGGGCCTCCTTAACGTGTGCCGCGATTGCTGACTAGAGTCTGTTTAATTGCGGCCCTATCGCAACGGCGGGAAGCGAGGATAATTGGCAATTAAGTGAGGATGGCCGGCAAAGTACAAATTAGCACAATTATTGAAAAAAGGAACGTGCAATGGGGAAGCATCTGCAACAATGCATTCTTTTAACCGAGGCGTGTCGCGTGAATGTTTTCTGTTGTTTTCGGACCTTGGTGCGAAGAAAGACAGAAACAAGAGAAAGGCCGAACACGGTATATTAGCACTCGAGATTAGACTAATTTATTAACATCACGAGTATATTTAGGAAATATGATGTGTAATTACTACAATACTGGTACTTCCTGTACTATAGGTGGTGTCAGTTGATATGGAATAAAACAAGTGTATAGTTAATTTATATAAAAAAACTACGTTATAGTAAAAACTAACAAATAAAAAGTGTGACATTTATTAATCTAAAAATTTGGCCTTCGCACTCACAAATATGATAGTTCAGGATTGGATTGATAATATTACATCCTCACTAACCAGGCCTCCGCGTCGGGCCTATTATATGGGCACTGGAGTATCCGCTCGCCACAACGAGACATTGCCGGCCTTTTACGAATGCTCTGATACATTCCCAATGGTTGTGGGTGTTGATGAAATTCATCCGCCCAATTTCCTTATATCACAAACAGACTTTCTAATCGAATGTACTCGGCGGCTTTTGCCGGCAATAATCCCACAGACTAACATAATATAAGACCAACAACTACGAACCGTCTTCGGATAAGTTAGAAAAGCCAATGCTCTCTCGTAATCTCTGACGCGAAGCTCTCTACGATACACGAATCGGTGAATTGCGTGAATAATGTAGCTATTTGATAAGGCTCGAGCCGGCGGCAAGGCAACGGCCCGAACAAAACGGATCCGCGACGTTGTAACAAAAACCTGCGCTGGCGTGGCGTGAGTGCGAGCGCTACCGTGGCGTGCGTGAGTGCAGGTGCGAGTCGTAACAGCGTAGCTTTGCGTGGCGTGCGAGCGTATCGTGCGTGCGGTGCGTGCGTGGCGAGCGTACGTGGCGTGCGTGCGTGCGTGCGGAGCGTACGTGCGTGCGGTGCGAGCGTACGTGCGTGCTCGGAGCGTAGCGTGAGTCGGTGCGATGCGTACTGCGTGCGTGCGAGCGTACGTGCCGCTGTGCGAGCGTGCTGCGTGCGTGCGAGCGGTTGCGTGCGTGCGTGCGAGAGTACGTGCGTCGCGTGCGTGCGAGCGTACGTGCGTGCGGTGCGAGCGTACGTGCGTGGCGTGCGAGCGTACGGTGTCGTGCGTGCGAGCGTACCGTGGCGTTGGCGTGGCGTGCGAGTCGTGCCCGTGCGTGCGGATGCGTGCGAGCGTACGTGCGTGGCGTGCGAGCGTGACGTGGTGCGTGCAGGTCGTGCGTGCTGGACGACGGTTGCGCGACGCTGCGTGCGTGCGAGCGTAACGTGCGGTGCGTGCGTGCGTCATAGTGCGCGTACGTGCGTGCTGAGGCGTGCGGGAGCCGTAGTGGTGCGGCGAGCGAGCGTGCTCGGCGAGCGCGGTCTGAGCGTGTCGTGGGCGGTAGCGTGCGAGCGTACGTGCGTGCGTGCGAGCGTGCGTGCGTGCGTGCGAGCGTACGTGCGTGCGTGCGAGCGTACGTGCGTGAGGGAATCGTGTTAAGGGATGAGGACGTCGTCGGCTGGGAGTGTTAGACTGCCTGCGTGGGTAAAACTTCAATTCTGCCCCCGCTTGTTTTGCGCAATATTCGTTGTTCGTGACTGCTGCTGATGCTGGGATGCTGTTGTTGGTGTTTTTATTGTTGCTGCTGCTGATGATGATGATGGTGCTGCTGCTGCCGCCGCCGCTGCTGCTACTACTGCTGCTGATGATGATGGTGCTGCTGCTATTGTTGTCGCTGATGCTGCCGTTGTTCTTGTTATTGTTATTAATTGTTACTGTTGCTCATGTTTCTAATGCTGCTGCCACCGCTGCTGCTGCTTCTGCTGCTGTTGTTGCTGCTTCTGCTGTTGTTGCTGTTGCAATTAATTATCACATTAATAATAATCATCATCATCATCATCATCATCATCATCATCATCATCATCATGATAATAAAAAATATTGTTATTATTGTTATTATTATTATTATTATTATTATTATTTCTACTCGCATAAGTGTCACTCGGGTGTTTACCGCTGATGGCGTGGGTGGCCGCGGACACAGCGGATGCAGGAGGAGAGCGTGTCGCATCCTCCCCGCAGTCCCCGCACGGAGGCGCATGCGCATGTCTCATCCTGCCTCTACCCTGCGCTACCGTGGCGCTTCGATCGTCGCGTAATACCTACCCTAGGTGGGCGCGTAGGTGTAGGTGTGTTAGACTTCGGCACATGACATGGTACGGTTGTAGGCACAGGACGTGCGGGGGCGGCTGCCGTGCGTTTTCAATTCATCCATGCGGAGTCTCCTTTCCACTCCTCGGTCTGTCTGTCTCTTTCTCTCTCGCTCTCGCTCTCTCTCTCTCTCTCTCTCTCTCTCTCTCTCTCTCTCTCTCTCTTCTAATATATGGCTTTTGTTTCATGGCACGTGACCCGATACAGACTTTACACAGTTGTGTATAAAGAGACAAATACAACAGGCAAGGTATAGGCTTTCCGATATGGAATCTTTGGTTAGAAGTGATTACTGTCATGGTTAACTTTATGTCCAGTTATATAATCAGTAAGTTCGACTGGGCACAACAGTGCTCTCGATATATGTATGGCCTGTGCCCATACATCTTAGCATTAAGTCACACTAGTCGGTGCTGTCAACGTTGTTGCTACATCCGCTCTCGCATTTGCAGAGCATCGTGCACCTGACACCGGCGCGATTGCACTTGCACCTTCCTGTGCATGACTTGAGGCAGCTGCAGTGCAGCAAAAGGGTGCATGCTTCTGAAGCGTCACAGAGTGTAGTCCATAGCGGCTGCCAGGCACCCGTACCATCTTTTTGCC